AGATTTTGCATGAATCCTCAAGGCATGTTGACTGTTACAACTGAGTGTGCTGGCCAAATTAACTTTGTGCAACTGAAAAGCTGGTTGCAGATTTTGAAATCTTTTCTTGCTTATTTTGACACGGGCTGACTCAGAGTGAAGAACACAATGATGCACATAAACAATATTAACAAGAAATGCCCCTGTCAGGAAGGATAAAAGGAAGAGTTTTTTCCCCAATAACTAGCCTTAATGATCATGACATGCATTTTGGACTCAATGGCCTAATCTATCAAACTAATCTAATCTTTCCTTTTACCATTCCTATGACCTTTGAAGTCGGGCTTGTTTGTACCAATTCTTTGCATCAGCCTCATGAATCACTTTCGACTAGTGGTGCCTCGGGGGATTTTTACCAACAAGTCTCTCTCATTTCTTTATCTATACTTACCGTCGTCTTACAGTGCCCGTGAGGGTTTTCACTAGTAGGACTCTCTCATTTTTCTTCTTCTTTATTTTTCCTTTTCTTTTGCTTTCTTGTGTGAGCAACTTGACAGTGTCATATGTTGCGTGACAACCATTACTCATTGCATGCTTCTTTTGACATTCATGAAGGCTTATTGGGAGGTCTTATTAGGAAGGTTTTTGGATAAGGTTGAAAAGAAAGGATGGCATGAAGGCTCCAAGTAGACTAAATATGATGGGCTGTACACTTACAACTCTTGGAATCGACTCTTAAAAAAAACTAAAACAAACTCATGCCCCAGTTTTAGATACTGGGGATTTTCGGTTTTTTTTTTTTGAACTCTTATTTGGTTGGACCGAACCGTGTAAGGTTGCTTACGTATCCTTTTTAAAAAAAGGAATCAGGTCAATCGTAGTTTTTTTAAAGCAACTATACCATTAGGCAGTACTTGCCTAGTGGCTAATATATAAATAAAATCCCAAAATGGGTCCAAAGCTTACAAGATGTCCAAACCAAAATAGAAGTTGCATGAAGCTACTAGCTATTAAAAAGATAGACAAGCTAAAATCTAATGAACTAGCTATTACAACATAATAAGTTGAATGCTTCCTTCTCCTGTCAGTGTATGTGAATCCAATTGCCATTGGCAAATACCAAGCAACACCTATCAAGCTCTCACCAGGCGCCAGGGAATACTGTCCATAGGCTAAAATGAATTCCAAACATCTCCACCACAGAGTTGAAGCCAGCATAGTCTTCCAATTGTAGCTACTATATAATCTCCATATGCAGTGAACTGATTTTGTCCAAGTATTAATCATGTGCTCACTCATCAAAACTAATGTGTAGAAGAGGAGCCTGGCTTTAGGCAGGCTTTGCAAGGCAAAAGCTACACTTGGGTTGGCTTTAAGCAGGCTTTGCAAGGAAAAAACCAGGCTTGAGCTGGCTTTACGCAGGCTTTACAAGGCAAAAGCCAGGCATGAGCTGGCTTTAGGCCAGCTTTGCAAGGCAATAGCCAGAAATGAGTTGTCTTTAAGCAGGCTTTGCAAGGTAAAAGCCAGACTTGGGTTGGCTTTAAGTAGGCTTTGCAAGGCAAAATCGAGGCTTGGGCTGGTTTTAGGCAGGCTTTGCAAGGCAGAAGCCCGGCATGAGTTGGCTTTAGGCTGTCTTTGCAAGTCAATAGCCAGAAATGAGCTGGCTTTAAGCAGGCTTTGCAAGGCAAAGGCTAGGCTTTGAAACTGTGCCTTTTTGTGATCTTGTAAGCTCAGATCCTTCCCTACTACGACCTTTAATGTAGACATCATTCTAAACATTGCTAAACCATCCTCAGATTGAGCATGAAAACATGCTAATACCACTGAGAAATGATTCAACAATCTCCAGAAATACCATATGATGGATTCATCATTTTCTTTAGCATTTGGACATATCAGAAGTAGGATAAATTGTACCATCCCACACCTGCTTATCGCATTTTTTCTGTACACTATCAAAGCACCCC